TGTATGCAAAAATTATGTGCAGAATAAAACTATATTAAGTTACAGCGTATGAAAAGTTAAATTACAATATATAATATGGCACGGTTATATCGATATGTTACGGCACAAACGCATGTTATGACATGCCGTAATTTAAAACAAAAAGTTGAAATAAGTTATAACTCAGTTACGTCACGGCATGTTCCGATGCTTTGAGTTTCTACCGCACCTCTAATAATCATTAACTAACACATTAACAACAGCGTCACCATCAGTCCCTACTATTCGAGGTAACTCCTGAGGAATTCCTGTTAAAGAAATCTTCAGTGGGCATTTATTTGAATTAGAAACTTTGTTAAGAATAGCTACACTGGTTGAAACTGCAATGGTCATCTAAAATTAAAGATAATTATTATATACATCTAAACCAAGAATAATAATATATACAAAAGCCAAAAATTAAACAAACTAAAAATACCTTCGGACGTACATTGCCTTCATAATGACCAGGTACTACCTTACCACCGACAGAATAAAAACTGTCTCTTTCAAAAATTGCCTGAGTCTCAAAATCTCTCTCCCGGGATTCAATAGGCAAAAACAAAACCATCTCAATTTCATGATTATCACGTTCGACTGGTAAGTGCCAAGAGCCCACACAACTAATGATTTAATATCTTGCCTTTCAGTTCGACGTACATACTTAATCCTAACGATCGTGTCTGTGTAACATGGCATAGTAAAAAAAAAAGCCATTATTTTTCAAAGGATGCACAAACTATATATATACAAGAAAATTTAATTATTGCGTAACAAAAACAACATAAACGCATAGACTTACCCAAAAACTAATTAAAAAAAAAAAAAAAAAAATTTCACAAAAACGAAAATATTACGAAAACATTAACTCAATAAAAAAAAACACGCTAACAAACAATACCGTGAGAAAAAAAACAATTACGACATAAATACCTCCTTACAGCAAAAAAAAAATAACAAACTAAACTTAAATAAGAAAAATCAAATATCTATATAACTTAACAAAAAATACACGGACTCATTACGCACAAAAAAAACCATACATAAAAAAAAAAAACTTAACCATTTTCAATGAAAAAATGACTCTCTCAAAAAAAAAGAAAAAAAAATTCACTAAGAAACAATTAATCGACCAAACTGTATTACAACCTTAAATAATATAAATAACACCATTTATTAACTACTTAAAATAGCCAAATACACGTGATTAGAATTTTCTTTTGCTAAAATTACAAAAAGAAAAAATAAAATAAAATAAAATAAAACATAAGAAAAATAACACGACACAATACACTATCACGCTACAAAAAAACATCGCAACGAACCTAAACAAAAAAATAAATAAATAAATAAAATCCACTTCAATTAAAACTTTTCCACATGCCGAAGGCACGAGTTAAATGCTAGTATTTACACATAATTCTATTTTTAAATCTGAAGGATTGCAACCTATGCATATCGAAGTTACAATAGCTAACGATATTAAACTTAATAATTTTATATACAAAAATTGTTAACCCGATGCAAATTAATTTGTGTATTTACCTGACATTTAGCATTTTTCATTTTTTTTCGTAGGATTTTTTATTGGGTTGATTAAATGATAATCACTGATCGTCAAATACGATAGCGAACTAAATTTTCAGCTAATCGTATATCCAGATAACTGTGCAACCTGCTAATTCGTTATATGATGCTCTTAAACTTTTGTTGGCTTGGCTAATGTGATTCAACTGCCTGTTAGTGTATATCTAATGCTTCGATAGATGTTATTTAATATGCTGGCTGACGATATTATTTAAGCTATTAAGCTATTTATTAATTGATTTAACTGAATGTATTCTGTTGATAAGTAAATTTCGATAAAAAACCTTTTACTTACCTATTTTTTTTTTCTGCTCTAAATTTAAATTAGAACAATCTTCAAATAAATTTGTCAAGCTTTCCAGAAGTTTTGACAAATTAAAATTTGTCATTGACGAAGTTACTAACCATATATATAAAAATAACCAATTAGCTCTAATAAGGTCACCAAGTAAGCATATACTATTAATTATCATAAATAATAACAAGTATATA